CTGAGTCCAGGGCCGGGAGTCTGAGTCCAGGGCCGGGAGTCTGAGTCCAGGGCCGGGACTCCGCACGGACACAGATCACAAACAAGAGAAAAAACAGTCACGTGTTTGATGAACACGGGTCAGCACCTTCCTGGAGTCACATGGTTCAGCAGCTGCAGCAGTGATTGGCTCTTCTTCTTTGATTGGTGGGGGGGTCTGGAAGACAGACAGTGGGCTGTAGCATCGACCTGCAGTGGCCACCAGGGGGGTCTTACGATGAGCGCTGGCACCGGAGTGAGAATCTGAAACAGAGAGAAAACAAAGATTCAGTGATTAAAATGAATCCCCTCTGGTTCTTCTCTGTCTGCTGCATGTATGTATTTTTTCTTAGTCTGGGTTAAATCCATGTTAACGTGTTGAATAGAACACGGGAACATTTAAAACCAGTAGAAACCAGTAGAGTGGAGGAAGTCTGACCGTCTCTGACGGGCGAGAAGATGTCCAGACTGGCACGACCCACGACCGGCTGACCCTCCCCTTCTCTGGACAACATGTCCAGACTGGTTACTATGGAAACACAGCATCCCAGTTAGTCCAGAGCCAGCAGTCATTGAAAACTACATATGTCAGACAGTCGTACCGTGTGTTCTTCCAAACGGCGTCTCTCCAGTTGTCCCCTGAGTCCTCAGGTCTGAGACAGATTCATTTTAGTCCAGATACAACAACAACAAATACCAACAATGGAAACAAACTGAAGAATGAACATTCATTCTTAGATGCTTGATTTTCTTAACCCTAAGAAATGTGTAAATTCCATCTGATGATAATTAGGAGGGTAAAGGTTGTGATGTGGTCAGAATATTAGGAACACCTCAGTCCAACACAGACACCATCGCTCAATGCTTTTAAAATGCAACACTTCTGTGTCACTGTCTCAAGGACACTGACCATCTCGTACAGGAGAGAAGACGTCCAGACTGTTTCGTCCAACGCTGCTCATCTTCTCCACGGCTGGAAGCTGCTCTGTCCCCTGTTGACCCTCAGCTTCCCGGAACATCACGTCTGCTTCAGCGACCCCTGCTGGACACAACAAAGAGCATACTTCTCATTTGTGGGTCAAGGTTTTCATTTTCCCGTTTCTGACCCGTCACCTGACCCGCGAGAAGACGCCTGAACCTGCTGCCTGTCTCCCACCCAAGCTGTTATCAAATATGAAACATCTGATAAAATATGGTTGTTAGAAATGAGCGCTGACTGTGCATTAACATTTATCATGATGTAATGTCATCCAAGTATAATAAAATATAATGACATGGACCAATGAGACGCACTGACCTGTACTTGTCACCTGTCTGTGGGGGGTGGGGCCTGTGTAAGGGGTGGGGTCTAGCTGGCTGCTGGAAACTCTGGTTGAGGATCTTTTCGTACTGGAGATCTTGGTGGCGCCCAGTTTACTGGACTGAGGAGGGAGAGAGGGAGAGAGGGAGAGAGGGAGCAGGTAAACAAATAAGAGACAGAGTGAAAACCAGTGTTTTGTGTTTACAAACAAAAAGGAAAGTAAGTTTAGTTTTCTGCACTAAGTCTGAACCTGTTTGTAAACACAAGCCGCAGCAGCCGCAGCAGCCGCAGCATCAACACTTGTGATTTTCATCAGAACTCTCTCTCAGACCAGAACACAACCTCTCTGCTGTTGAAGTGTTTGGAATAAAGAATGAATGATCTCTGAATCGCTCCGGCTGTTGGTACCTTGTGTCTGCTGGTGTTGCTCTGGAAGCGAAGACATGTGACCGAGGTTTTATGTGCAACAGTGATCCTGGTGGGGGTGCTGGAGTTCCTCAGGTCGTACTGGTAGATCTTCCCCTGAGTGGATCCGACTACCAGCCCAGTACCATCTGGAGTGAAGTCAATCGAGGTCAGGGGACTGTCCACCCGGATCGACCTGAGCACGCTGCAAGAGAACGGAATTTTAAAATCTTTCACGTTTCTTTTTTTATGCAGAACATTTAGTCAGACAGATTAAATTCAAACCTAAGGTAAAGGTGCATTTCATTAGGTCGCCCGTCAGTGACATTATATGTACGTGTTTGTGTGTGTGTATATAAGTATATATACATTTATATAACATTACCTCATTGCTCTGCATCCTGCATCTTTAAGCTCTTAAACATTGACCTCTAAACAGAATTCAGATAAAAAACTCCTGAACCATCAACACTGAAAGAATCCTAACCAGGGGTAAGACTACAACTCCCATCATCCCTCACTGCTGCAGCACATCAACAAACTCTGGCTTTTATCCCGTCACTCTGTTATTAAATCCCATGTGTTTGCTCTTACATCTTGCTGGCAGTGTCGTAGCAGACGATCTTCTTGTCCAGACCGACGCTGACCACCAGCAGCTCGCTGGCAGGTGAGAAGGCCAGGCCCGAGCCCGGGGCCTTGTGGGCGCTGTCAAAAACATGGAGCTCCTTCTGGGTGTTGGAGTCCCACAGGACCACGGCGCCACTGTCGGACACGGTGCCCAGCAGGGAACGCTTCAGCGCGGAGAGCTTCAGGTCATGGATGGGCTGGAACACGTGACAGGAGGACAGCAGCAGAGAGAGGATGTTTTTCAAACCGCTGGGCTTCAGTATTAAAATTACTTCTGTGTGAACAACAGAACACGTTTTCTTTAACACTATCAGGAAAATGTGAGTTAATGATGTTTCTAAAACATCCCCATAAAATTACAATAAGGAGACATTGGTTCACGTCTGCAGATCAGTGGGACTCAATAATGAAGCATTCAACCTCTGTGTCGAACAGTTTGAGATATAAAATGAACCAAATAAGAGTTTCACATAGGACTTATGGTGAATCATGTGCATTAAGATCATGAGTGAAAATGGCTTTTCAGCTGTTACTCCTCAAACCTGCTGGTAGGTGATAAGGTTCAGAGGGTTCAGGATTGGTTCAGAGTTTTATGAGAAATACACAGTAGCAGCATGGGAAGTCACAGTCTGACCTGGTTGCTGCCGTGGCCGAAGGCTTTGCTGGACTGGTTGGTGGTGAGACTGTGGAGGACCAGATCTCCACTGGTGGAGCCGGAGGCGATGTAGCTGTCGTTGGCGTTGAAGGACACACAGGTCACCTCTTCTCTATGGTCCTGAGAGACAAGACAGAGGGTCGAGTGACCCTCATCTCTGTCAGACATTGTCTTTTGTATAAACAGAACACTGATAAGACTTCTCCATTTATGTTAGACACGGTCTTTTCTCATCAAGGTTGAAAATATTGTGTTATATGTTGTTGATGTTACACTTCTGTCCGTTCTGGTAAACTTAGTAAGTCAGTGACAGTTTCACCTTGTCATCGCTCCAAAACAAGAAATCCCTGCTATTAATATTGACCACTGCTATTTTCTGTAACCACACAACCAACTGCGGAGTAGACAATCTGCTTCCTGTTGGGACCACATGACCAGTGTACGTGAATAGTCATGTGTCGTGTGTTTTCATGTGTATAAGTGTCGACGGAGATTACAATAATAAAAATGCTCGTTTGGATGGAGGTCGGTTTAGATTTAAAAATGAAGACTTGTCAGTGTGGGCGGAGCCAGAGGTTACCTGAGTAAAGTCTCACCTTGAGGGAGCGATGCAGCCTCTTGGTCTTCAGGTCCCACAGGTGAACGCAGTGATCCAGACCTCCACTCACCAGAAACTGAGACGAGGAACTCAGACACACACGGGTCTGCCTTTTCTGAACGTCACAGAGAAAATTGATTTTGATTTTTCAAAGTGAAAACTGCAGCGATCAAAAGATCACACTGTCGCCATAGAAACAACAAAGCTGAAGCTGTGCACTCACCCCCTCTGCAAGTTCCACCAGTGGTACCGGAGTCGACTTGAGGCTGGAAACCACCAGTTTGTCTCCGCTGCTGCTGGAAGTGACCAGGTAATGGTCTGAAAGGACGAGTCAAGGCAGCTTTATCTTTTACTGAGAGGCTCCACCCAGCCTGCACGTCTTTATCAATAAACATCATTATCTTCCCTTTTACAAAGTCTCACTTCATTTCTGTTCATTTTGGAAAAGAAAACACATTATTAGTTTGTGATCGAGCATCTGGTGAGAGAACTTCTTGTTCTCAGTTCATAAACTTAGCTCAGAATAAAGTCCATTCATTGTTTGAGCCATTTTACAAACGAGTGGAGCGATGCTGGCGAGAGTTCAGCCAGTTGACTCGAGCTGCATCGCTCTGATCATGTGTTGCCTCACACGCCACAAGCACACGCCACAATCACACGCCACTGGTTTGTGGTTGATTTAAGCTGCAAAGATTTCCCATTTCTCCCTTTTGTTGTCGGTGCCTCTGCGTCAGTATTTCTGTCTGTGGATTGAGTAGAATTGGGAATCTCTAGGCACCTCATGATTCAATTCACTTTGCTGACACTAGTTGTGAGGACACATAATAGAGCAGACAACCAATCAAGAGAATAATGAACCAATAACTGCTTGCAGCCTGAGACAGGCAGAGAGTAATTTAAACAAATGTAATGTGTCAATGAACAATGAGAGTGAGCTCAAACTATTGACTGTTTTTGTGTCTAAAGACGCACGAATGCTTCTGTGCGTTGTCCATCAGGATACTGTTGGAGCCCCAGCAGGCCTGGGCCACAGGGTGGCCGGTGCTGTGAGGGTTGAACTGCTCCAGTGGCGCCATGGAAACCGCATCCCAGATCTTCACACAGTCTCCTGTGGACACCAGGCGGCTCGTCTCCTCCATGGCAACGACTGGAAACACACACACACACACACACACACACACACACACACACACACACACACACACACACACACACACAGCTCAGATGAGGGGATGTGACACTTTATGGTTCATGATGGTGAACACAACAATACTCGTGAATACATCAGGGCTGTGAGGATCGATCACAATTACTCACTACTGTGCCAGTGAGTGAGTGTGTGTGTGTGAGTGTGTGTGAGTGAGTGTGTGTGTGTGTGTGTG